TGTATAAACTAATGAATGAAATATGCTGAGAGAGAATTAATAATAATATTAATTATTATTATTATTACTTTGATTAGTAATTCAATTAAATTTTCAGGATTAATGTACATCAAATCTTGTAAAACCACACCCACACTAATTACCCCATCAATCACCTTATCCTAATAATAGTAACAATATTAATAATACATTAATTACATCAGTATTACATCATTTGTTTCTTTTAGTTTATTAATCAGTAGCCATGTACCAAACGTCTCTGGAGACTGAGACAGACTCATTGCTTCATGATCTATCGCTCGTCTCAAACCATCAGACCAACCTGTGATCACGTGATCAGTGAGTAGTGTCACGTGACTGGGTACCTTGTGATATATCAGGAAGATTGGTTGCTTCTGATCCTAACTGATAGAGATATATAAAGAGATAGTGTTTGGATTATTTACTTCTTCTAATAGTCTCTCAAAGTCAATGTGTGTCTCCATTACACTTAGCATATCTTTTAAAATACTGTCCATCACTAAACAGTAAACACATGTGACCACGTGTTTATAGTTTCAAACTTCAATTTTTGTCAATATTAAAGCCAAGAAGGCGTGGTTTGCTTTTATATTAAACTATTACGGCATAAGCTTTTGCCAGTTTTGGACAGGCATCTTACACTTTTTGGACAAGACAGAGAGAAGGTACATTTTATCATTCGATGCCTTACAAGTCACTGTATTTATTGTATTCATTATAGATATTGTTGTCTGTTGGTCTGCACAGTTTGCTCTGGTGTCTTAAGAGGACTGAAGAGGTAGCTGAAAGCATAGGCATCAGTGGGGTAGGAAGTTTGTTAATATTGGGGGGGGGCTGGTTTGAATGAATGGTGTGCGAAACCATAGATATTAGAGTTACAACACCCTTTTGTATTAGGTTCGGGCTATTTTGTCCCCCTGTATAAACCGTGTAATATCCGTGTGAAGCGGTCGCAATAGCCACAATTAGACAGTCCTCTTTCTTCTATTGTAACTTCTTAACTATAGCATGTACAGGACTGAAACAAAGACGTTTATTCAGCACAGAATTCTCTAACTACCAGCATCACATAACAGCTTGATTTTTATAAAGTGCGGTAGTCTCGCCATGCCCCTTCACTACCTGCGGAGAAAGGGTCTGGAGACACGGTAAAAATGTGTGTTTCATGCAGAGAAATCCACGTCCCAATCAGATTGCTCGAACCACGTGTAGGACAAGTAGTCATGTGACCGAAGAGCTCTGTTTAAGGCAAAAGAAGAAGAATGAGGACCAAATAAAGGCTAGAAGGAGCCTGTAACACTCCCTGGACTTCTTTCTCAAGGTTTAAGTGCAGCATTATTATGCTGCTTACTGCAATGGCGCCATGGCACTTATGACGTAATAATACTGTCACGTGTTTACAATAAAATGTCATCAATAAAAAGTAAATATTATGGCACTCTGTAAAAAGCTGCTGCTCTCAAATCTGCAAGAGATGCCCAAGAGGCTTTATCCTTGTCTTCTTTTAGCTGCAAAGCATCTCTTTCAGCTGTTTTGACTGATCTGGTTTTCTCTGTCACATGATGTAGAGCCAACCACATGGTCTTCTTTACACACTTTTTTACTGTGAGTGTCTCCAGACTCTTCCTCCGCAGGTAGCGAAGGGGTGGGGCTAGACTAAAAGTGCGGCTAAGCAACTCTGGCTAAAAGTTTGTGTTCAGTAACTTTTCACATATTATCATCTAGTGATACAGTGTTTCTGTGTTTGTATATCTTTGGTCACTGCATCAATTTTCCTGTATACTAGTTAGTATAAAGAATAGGCCCGGTAGGGTCAGAATAGCCCCAACAACTAGGTCAGTGAAGGTACTGTTTTTATTCAAACTTCAAGCGGAATTTTGCTGATGTCAAGAAAGTATAAATAGAATAGACTAAATAGAACTTATTCAAGAATAAAAGAAAAAAAATAAAGCAAAGAAGAGTGAGTTATGACTTCTTGAATATTTAATTAGATCATAGTGCAGAAATGAGCCGGAATAGCCCCGAGTTACTCTATAAGATTGTGATAGGTGAAAGTAAATTCAATAGAAAAGTAAAACTGGTTTCTTTTAGGTTTTGCATAGCAGAGATAATGGGTGGGCTGAGCCCCCTTCATAATGAGGGGGCCAAAGCCCACTCTGCCCCCTCAGTTTCTGCGCGACTGATAGGCATGCTAGCAGCTTAATTTAATTCCTTAGGCCATTCCAATGAAAGTAATTCTTTCTCCTTTTGTGTGTGGAATTGATGCAGGCATAAATATTAGAGTACAAATACCACAATAGTATTTATACCTTAATGTGATACTTTGTACTTTAATATCTATGATGCAGATGTATGGCATTTTCGGCCTCACCCAGCTTTGCATAGGCGAGGACTAAGTACTCGGTTTGTCTGTCTGTCATTCATTCTGTGTGCTATATTTTGTCATGTACTTGTATGTACTGGAAAACGTGTTTTTCTCTAAATACTTACATGTATGTAATATGTATACATGTGCAATGTCTGCAACATAGACAATATGCAGTCAATAGAGGATACAGACCTGGGGTCAATTACAATTGTAATTGTAATTGAAGGGTCAATTACAATTACGTAATTGTAATTGTAATTGAGCTTCAGCTTATGTAATTGAAGTTTCAAATATATTTGAGTTACCTAACTACAGAATGTTCAGATGCACAAAGAAATGTTCTTCATGTACTTTGGTATCTTTGGGTGTTTTTGATACTGTAAAGTACCAAAATAACTTTTTTTAACACACAGTGTAAGCACTGCAAAGTATGTTGCTACAATACATGTACATCAAATTGTAATTGTAATTGAAAATGTAATTGAAATTACACTATCATGGTGTAATTGTAATTGTAATTGAGTCTATTTTTACAAAAGAAGTGTAATTGAATGCGTAATTGTAATTGAGCTTTTGTAATTGACCCCAGGTCTGAGAGGATATGTGTGCTAAGTATATTCATTGCAAAATAAATGTATTCATTGCATACCGTAATAACTTTCAAGAAAAAAAATTAGTTCGTTGGACGTCAACTTTCCATTGGCAGCAATGGAGAAAAGATAGAAAAAGGCTTGGTACCAGGAAACCGCTCTGTATTTCTTGATAGCAATGTTTCAGGTGACTACTAGACCCCGTTAGATCCTCAGGATGCTTTCTAAGCTTCCGAAAAAGGCCTCAAGAAGGTAGCAAGGCAAGAAAATGTGTTTTTCCCCATTGAACTCTTAATAAACTTGACGTCCAACATGGCGGCCAATTTACTGTGTGGGTTGGATATACGGTACTTAAAAGCTATGAATATACTTAGCACGCATATCCTCTATTAATAATTTTTTCCCATTTTGTGATTTTTGATGTGCAATTTGAGCCTACTAATAAATGTGCTTTCATCATTTTCTTTCTATTTTTTATCACAGGTTCATAATATTCTCATACGATGGCAGTAAGTCATTTCACATGTGAATGTGTAATTTCATTCTTTTAATCTTGTATGATACCATTGTGATTCTTTACTAAACTGTGTTATTCACAATCTTTCAGAGAGTAAGTCGCTTCACATGTAAATGTGTAATTTTATTCTTTTCTTCTATGATACCATTGTTATACTTTACTAAACTGTGTTATTCACAATCTTTCAGCCAGTAAGTCATGTCACATGTGAATGTGTAATTTTATTCTTTTCTTCTATGATACCATTGTGATTCTTTACTAAACTGTGTTATTCACAATCTTTCAGAGAGTAAGTCACTTCACATATAAATGTGTAATTTTATTCTTTTCTTCTATGATACCATTGTGATACTTTACTAAACTGTGTTATTCACAATCTTTCAGCCAGTAAGTCATGTCACATGTGAATGTGTAATTTTATTCTTTTCTTTTTCAATACCATTGTGATACTTTACTAAACTGTGTTATTCACAATCTTTCAGCCAGTAAGTCACATCACATGTAAATGTGTAGTTTTATTCTTTTCTTCTATGATACCATTGTTATACTT